TGTGTGTGTGTGTGTGTGTGTGTGTGTGTGTGTGTGTGTGTGTGTGTCATGATACCGAATGACGATGATGATAATAATAGGATACAAATTAAATCTGATTGCACTCGTATTTGCTCAATAAAATGAGCATCAAGACATCGTTTCCATTAAATTTGTTGGCGATTTACACCGTAAAATAAATTATTTAATTATGGTTTAATAAAAATTGTTTTGTTTATATGGCACATTACTAATGTACAAACTGGTCACCATTTATAGCTTTTTATTTGTTCTTTGGAATGGCAATGCATTCATAAATTAAAGCCTTGAATTCACGACGCATTTAATTCAGGTTTTTTATTCTTATCTCTTTTGTTATAATTGCTCAATTGCGTCAATGATTATCTTTTATGCGTGGCAACTATTTTGTTTTGCCATTTCGATGAAATGTTTGAAGAAAGTGTGTTTTCAACTGCTTCGAAGATTTTCCAAATCAACGGATGGACGGTATTAAATTTGCTCAAACTAAACACGGTTTTCGTGTTGATTAGTGAGATTTTAACACATTATTTTTTCTCTTAGTAATGCCATTTCTTTGGCTTTTATTCGCTTATTTTTCTAGGTAAAATGGAGTTTCGAGTGATAATTTGGAGCGGCTTCGGATACCTCGTGGTATAATTTGCGGCGTACATCATTTGAATGAGCGAGCAACATTCAATTTGTGGATTGATTATAAAGTGTACATATTTAGCTCTGAGATAATGAACATGCAGAAGCTTAAAATCATTTCAGAAATTGCACCTTGTATAGTAATCATTACGCCATTAATTGGGATGGTGGGCTGCTAACTAGCTTGTCGACAGTCACATTTATACGGAGAAATTATATAAAAAGCTGAGAGCGCCAGAGAGAAAGAGAGAGGATGAGACGAGCTCAGCGAAATTATTGCAATTTATGGTTGCCAATGCGATTAAGTCTAAAATATATGTTTGGTGCTGAATATGTCGCGTGAGTGAAAAGCTTCGCAAAATTGAGAGAGTTGTACGACCCAAATTGTTTTGGTTCAATGAGTTCACTCTAACGGGAGCATTGTTATTTGAATGTTTTTTTAATGAAAATCATGAATCATGCCATTTTGCCGTACACATTTTCTTGCTGTCTATTTCATACTTCTTCATCATCATAACCATCAATCAACTTCCCGTGGCATAATGATGTTGTTATGATCATAGCATACACACGGTGTTAGAATCTTGATGAAATGCAAGTATTTACGGAAAACATAGCTGCTGTGAAATGTTCGGAACCAAAGAGTGCTTATATCAAGTATGTGCTGTCATATCTTGGCTCTGCAACATTGTTTAGAGAATTGTCTGCGGTTTTTGTTGTCATCGGTTCTCTCTTTTTTTTTTCGTTTGTTTGAGCTCGTTCAGCTACTCTATCTATTACTTTGAAATTTTATTCACACGCAAGAACCGTGCATAAATATTGCAGCAATGAAATCAGCCGACTAAGAATAGCGAATCAAAAGATCTCGTGCGCACATACAACGCAATGAATGAAATGTAAAGTAAAGAAAATAAAGAAATTGAAAAGTAACGCGATACTCACACACCAAAGAGTCTTTGCAAAGACAATCGAGAATTGTGGGGACAAGATGTGAAACGCCAAGAGAAAGAAATAATAAAAAAGAAGAGACCAACAACAACGGCAAAGGCAAACAAAAAAACGTTGACACGACATTCAACAATGGAGAAACGTTATTGTTTATGCAACAGTGACTCACTATGCACTTAAACACAATTTATTTCACACAGCGGACATGATCACGAGTCATTTCTTTCGTAGTTGTTGCTGGCGTTTTTTTTTTTTTTTTTTTGGTTTTTCGTAAGTTTGAAATGAGGAAAATGTAATACAGCGAATCCGAAACATGTACGAAACCGAGTGAACTCAACATAACGGCCAGCACCAATAATAATATTAATTTTAATTGTTGATTCCCCATTCGATTGCTTCTTTTGAATATTGCCAGCGTTGAATTGAAATTGAAATGCAAAACCGAATAAAAACGCAAATAGAAAGAAAGAAAATGTGGGTGAGCGGCTCGAAGAACCACCGAAGTAATATAAAACGAGAAACAAATAAAAACAAACCAGACCGAAAGCAATTACAAATTCAAAGCAGTAATTGATGCATGGAAGCAATAAGATGCTTTATAAGTTACGCAATCCACAATTAATTTATTCAGATGGTTTATGCTCTCATTGTTTTCACGTGAATCGAATGTTGCGGTGTTTTCATTTCGTTCAAATAATCATTTCCCTTTCGTTTGATCGACGAATGCGGGCAGGCAGTCGATATAACCTGTGCACGCATCATCCAATTACTGTTGATGGGCTGGTTAAAATGCAATTTATACCAATTTACTCAGGTCTCCGAACTATGGAAATTCTGGTTAAATATTGTTATACATTTTGATTCGAACCAATTTCGAATGTGCGAAAATCGACAAAAAAAAAAAAACAAAAGAAAGAATTTAAATATCGAACATTTGTTGCAAAGTTAATTTCCATCAAACCATGTCGAAATGGAAAATGTTATAAAAAAATTATATGAACCGTATGGGAATCAACAGCCGTTTGATTATGTAAAAATGTGTGATTGTTGCTTTTGTTTTTCATTCGAAAGGAAAAAAAAATGAACTGAAAATATCAAATTCAAAAGCACCAAACACTCACACACACACAGACACGAACAAACATTTTGTTTCTCCTCGTGAGGCATTAGACTCAAATAAGCACATATACGTCAATTGTTTACTGCCGCATGAAAATGAAATTTCATCCAATTAGTGTGTTGCAAAATGAAATGAGAAGCATTTTACTTTTACTCAAATTAACAAAATGCCTCTCTTTGGATGGATTTATTTTGGCGTATACTTTTTTAGATTTTCGCCCAAATTGGTGCAATTCATCAAATGTCGATGCCGCCGCAGGCTTGAAAACGTAAAAATAAATAAAATCAAATATAATATCAATCGTTTGACTTGTTGAGCTAGATACACGTTTTGGCCATTTATGTGTGCGCCAATTTTATTTGTTGAGGTTTGAAATGTATTTTTTTTTTGCATTTCTCGTTAGTTTGTTTCGTGGTTCGCATAAAACTACATTCGACTCGCTTGTAAAGACTTTATTAGGGGAATAATTGCCAATTAACCAAAATCAAGCACATCATAAACATGGTCAAGTCTGCGTTCCCAACAATCGGATGCAATTTTCTATTGAATGCAAATTGCACAACCGTATTCGTAGTTTTCTTCAAGAATCAATCGTTTGACAAAAAAAAAAAAGTTTTCTTCATTGTGCATACATTTTTATGCCGGCCCAATAAAGTTACCGTTTTGCAATAATATAAATAGTAGAAAAATGCCGTTGAAACTGAATGCATGGGACAAAACAAATATGTGGTATATGTTGCGACGTTTTATTTAACCATATCTCGGTCTCGTTCCCATTTCAGGCATGCCTACCGTATCAGTAACGGTATTTCAAGTGGCCTGGTGTTTTTCAGTTCAACAAACTGTACATTTTAAGTGCCTTAAATTTAAAGCCATTCAAAGACAACCATTTTCCCCTTCAAATCACATCGAACGGTATTTCTGCTTTTATTATGCATTCAGATAAAAATATGTTGTTGTCAATTAAACAAATGCTGTTTAAAAAAAAAAATATATTGGCTTAAAAGGGCAATTTAACACAAAACGCTATATGCTCAACAAACAATATTCAAACAACATTATCGTCATTATGAAAAATAATACTTTCCACCAAGGCAACGCTAAATTTAGAAATGCATATTACATTTTTTTCTTCCTCTACATCGAGTTATCGTGCTAACAACGCTTGTCTACGTCTGTAAATATGTGAGCGTGCATTTTTCCGAAAAGGGTAATCTGATTGCATCGATCACCAATTAAATTGCTGGTGTTGATCATCGTTGTACGAACATATGGTAAAAGCGCATTTCGAAAAAAATTATAATAATAATAACATTATTGTATGTATGATGTAATTTTGCGCTGACTGCATCAAATAACAAGTGAGAAAGTGCTTATGCAATTAGATACACTGCACTACATTTAACCAATTTGTACGATGAATGAATGAACGACAAAATGTGATCGTTTCAATGAATTTTCTATCATAATAAAACTTCCGCTCTGATTATCTGTAGTGTTAAATTCCATTCAATTGAATTATCACATTTCGAAAATCATCGAATAGATTCTGTTCATTTGAAATAGCATTCATTGATACGGCAAATGTACGGCATGACATTCGACAACAATTGCAAATTAAAATCAAAAATAAATAAACAAACATTCAAAAAGAAAATAAATTGTGCAAATATGACATCGACCCTGAAAATCATTTCATATTGTTTATCCAATGCTTCGTGTATTGAATGGGCTATTCAGAAATATACAACAAAGGCGCATCGATCATAATATCTA